ATATATATATATATATATATATATCTGTTTCTGTAGATCTAGATATATTCTCCAAGGACATCATCCACTTTCTTGTCATCGCTCAATAAGTCACAGTACTTGTTTGACTGAGGTTTAAGAGGCCCAGCTATCTATCTCTGACCTTTTCAAACAGGCTTATTTGGGAGGTGTTCCCTTCCCCGGAGAGATTCAACTTTCCAACCCAAATATTCCAAAGCACGGCCCAGGCAGAGTTGGTTTGATATAGCCACACATCTTGGGTTCTTTACATAAGTGCTTCATTGGGAAATACCCACAATGGGCATACCCCCAACTTCCCAGAGGAAAGTGACATTTTTATAATTGTTAGGAATATGTTGTTAACACAGCAGAACATGAAATAAGTTTTATAAGATGTGAAACATATCAAGACTTTTTTTATCAAGCCCAAAAATATTAACTTTGTTTTATCACAGCCAAGTAACTCGTACACCCCCTTTCCTGTCGCACTGTCTGCTCTGACCCTGCCTGTATGTTGGTCAGGATCTGGTGGTCATGAGCATGAGGTGCAGCCAGCCTGTGGCAGCAGAACACTGGACCAAGCCTGACCTCTCCCAGACTCGCGCCACTGGTCCCTGGGAAGACCAGGAGAGAACGTGCGCAACTTGCCCCATTTGGAATGTGCATCCCGTGCATAAACGAGTAGGATGGTGCCCATCTTCCCGCTGTCAAGCGGCTCCCCTTTGTCCCCTGATTCCGCGTGGGCCCTGGAAGCATTGCCCCAGTTGTCTGCTCTTCCACCTGGTCTTCAGCCCAAGCTTCTTCCATGATTATCATCTTGACAACTTCTATCAGCTGCTTCTCTTAGCAGGGATGCTTCTCTTGCTCCTGTCCTGCATCTTCCCTCAGAGGAACCCCCACTCTCCCAGGACCAGGATCCTGTGAAGGCGGGCACACGCTTTATGTGGCTCAAGGCCACGCCATCCCAGAGCTCCAAAGGGTGTCTGGTTGACGTTCCCACCCAGGAATGAGGCTTTTCTGTGCTGCCAGGTGGGCTCTTGGGATTCACTTTTCAAAGCACAAATAGACTGAGATCCAAGAAGACCAGCTAGAGGGTGGTTCCGTTGGCTGCAGAGAACGACATTCCCTGGTCGGCCGCCTCAGAGTCGGGCTGGGCCCTCTGCTGTCTCACTGCCAGTACCCTCCTGTCCCGAAGGCCTTGGCAGCTGAGTTTGATGGGTTTACGTGAACAACCCTGAGGATTGCTTTTTGCTCTTCAAACATTGCTAAGATCTATTAAAGTTATTTCTTGTCTTGTTCTTTTCAGGTTTTTTCCAGGGCAGATATTTTCCCTGTCTTATCCACTGGTCCAGTCACCCAAACTCTTGGCCCTCTCCATTGCTCCCAAATTAGACCCTGGGTTGGCATTTGCGTTTAATATCTAATCCACACCTGTCTTTGGTCTTTTGTCCTTTGTGGCAGAGCCTCCTTCCTTTGTCTGTAGAGCTTTCTAAACCATAAAGAAGCCTTTCCAAGGCTCTGTCCTCACTGTCCCTCCCAGGTGCTCTCCTGGTGACCCTCCGCTACCAGGTTTGATTCAGGGACATCTCATGCTTTCGCTGGAGAGTTTGGAGGCCAGTTTTCCACAACTTAAATGGAGTGGCTGATGAACTGGGCTCTGATCTTTTGGCATTCTTGTCCATCTTAGCAAGAGACCTACAATAAAATCAGGACTTCTTCAAGAACATGTCCTAGGATCCCAGAATGTCCAAGCTATCCTAGACCAGTGTCAACCTCAATGCTGTTGACATTTTTGTACCAGATTATTCTTTGTTGTGCGGAGGTGTCCTGTGCATTGTAGGTTTAGCAGCATCCCTGGGCTCTGCTCACTAGATGCTATTAATAGTAGCACCCTTTCCCTCAGTTGTCAGAACCCAAGATGTCTTCAGACGTTACCAAATGTTTCTTGGGGCACAAAAGTTGAGAACCACTGCCCTAGATCTTACAGGTGACAAATACCATATTTGAGATTTTCTTTTTCCTTCCATTTTACCCTGAGATAGCATCTCTCCTTGTTTCAGGTCATCAAGAGGCAGGTAAGAATATTATGCAGGTGACCTTGCGTCTATGTTTCTTCCTGTTTTAGAACTTCCATTTCACAACAGAGCCTCTCTTGCCACAAGTATTCTTACTCTCATCCCCGGGGAAGTTGGGAACAGCTGGTCACCATCATCCCTATGATCAGCTCACACCTATTTAAAGAGCATTTCTAATTTGATCTTCAAACTCTTAGTATACCGGGTAAAAATAAATCCCAGCTATTTTCATTATTTCTCGTAAGTTCATGGGTCTCATTATCAAACCTTTGATCATTTCAATACATTTCCTCTGGCCGCCTTCTCCTTTCTGCCTTACACTCAATGCTGTTTGTAATTTATGAAAGCCTCTGGAGCGTGTCTTTTCGTCTTTGGGGATGGAGCAGAGAGGAATCAGTTCCGGAAGAGAGCTGATAGTTATTATTTTTTTTCTTTATTGAACTCAGAGGGAGCACAGTCTATTCTCCTTCGTTTTGTAGGTGAGGAAGTTGAGGCTCAGAGGGGAGGTGACTTGCCCGAGGTCACAGTTCAGTTAGTGGCAGAATTAGTGGCAGGATTAGGCTGCCTGCCACCTACTCTTTGGCCTCCTCTGGTGAGTGGTTGCTTTTTGGTGCTCAGGCTTAAACGATCCTTACAGTGGACAGTGTCAGGTCAGAGAGAGGGAGATGAAGAGCCCCCCTCTGCCAGAGCAGCGGCATCACCCCCACGCGGGTGCCGCTTCTCACAACGGAGGGCCTGGTCTGACTGGAGCTCTCAGAGGCATCTCCAAGGGGACATGAAACCTGATGAGCCTTTTCACGTACTCTGAGCGCAGTTCACCAGCCACAGGCTCAGAGTCAAATGTCTATTTTCTAAGCATCCCAGCAGCAGAGTCCCGCACTCAGACCAGCCAAAAAACAGGCCCCGTTCCAAACACTTGGTGTTACAAGTCCCCAAATGACTTTAAAACCCAAGTCTGTAGGTTTCAATGCTGTAGTGGCTTTAGCAGTTGCTTTTTTGTACAACCGTTAAATTATTTAAATCATAGGAGATGACAGTCAGTTTTACAAATCCTGGTACATAGAATTTGTATACTTTTGTATATGCTCTGGTACACTACACTTGTCCTAACGAAGGTTAGAACCAGTTTTGTCTGTTGGTGTCCACACCTGTGATGTGAAGAGGACATTTCAGCACCGCTCGTTTCTTTATGTTGATGTTTCTGTGGCAAAGCCCTGCACATGTCATTTCTGAAAAGCCTTAAATCTTTGAGATGTTGCATGTCGGGTGTGCAGTGCAAACAGCTGCCTCAGAACTGTGAGCCCTTTTGTAAGCTGGAAGCATTTCAATTACTACTGTTACTTTTTTAGGGAGTTTTCAATTCAGAGCTGCCAAAGTGTTCCAGTAAGCAGTGCCTTAGTGATACCTGAGTCGTGCCGCCAGCCTTTTCTTACACCAGTTCTCCATGCCCATTGACTAATTGGCCCAATATTTAAAACAGAACCAGCAGGAATTGTTTTCATTTTGTTTTGTAAGCCCATTTGACTCCAGTTCTATAGAAAACGGACCACTCGGTCTAAACTCGAAAATGGAACAGAAGTCCGTTCCTTGACCACACTCTCAAATGTCTATATACCAAAACGAAAGGTTTTGCCACTTCATAGTTGACTATGAAAAAGCAAATTGTACTCTTTTAATGTTGCCTTTTAAATTCACGACCAAATACTTAGCTATTTGTGAATCTTCTGCACTCTAGCATGAAAGTGCCTTTGGTTTGAGATTCCAGCTTAGAAAAGTGCTGCCATAATAACGATAATTTGTAGAGAGACCAAAAATATTTTGAGATCACCATAAATGCCTTTGGTTCCCCGGGATGAGTCACCAACCACAGGCCTCTGTTCACGCGAGCACGACGTGGAACCTGCCTGCTGGGAGTCTGTCTGCCGTGGAGAGCCCCTGCCACCCCCCATCAGGAGCACACTGCAGCAGAAGGAGACCCATTAACTGTTGTGTTTGTGTGTGCCGATGACCCCGTGTGTCATCTCCGCTCGTCACCCAGCCCTGCATCCACGTGAAGGAACTTCCACACAAACGACAGACTCTTGGCCAGCATACAGACTTGTCCTCCTCCTCATGTTCGTGTTCAGTATCTGTGGAGGCTTTCTTTTCCATTCTGATGACAGCGCGCACTTATCTGGTTCACACGATACCGTTTTGAAAGTTGGAAGCCTCAAACTGAGATGACAGTGCAGAATAAAAAATGAGTTAGGGTCATGACAATTGAAGTGTTCTTCTTAGGGCGCAAATGTTGACTCTGAGTGTTGTGTATGAATGTGCTATGAGAAACTTCCAAAGAGCACCATTCACAATTCGGCATTTTTCAAAGAATGTTCCAGCCCTCAGAAGGGCACACCCCTTGCAAGTCCAGGTTGGCTTTTATCAAAGCATTGTGTACATTGGGAAAGCTGACAGGGGTAAGGGAGAGGAGTGAAAAGGACATGAAGGCAAAAACACCAGCCAAACAAAAGCCAAGGAAAAAAAGATTTTTTTTCTTTACTAATATAGACTTAAAAAAATGACATCAGACGTCTTTGATAGTTAGCCTCTGAACTCTTAATGCATCTGTTCCATCTGCCGCTCTACCTGGTATCTTTAAGAAGACCCTCTCTGGGCTCTGAAATTTCAGGCGTGATTTCTATCCACACCAAGTTGTGAGTATTTATAGAAATTTTTATGAGAAAAAAAAATCAAATAAAAAGCAAAATTAACACAAGTTATAGTTTGCTGCTTGAATTCAGCCCCTTTCTATCTGTACTATATATATACCACAACTTGGAAGAAATTACTCAAATATTTGTTTCCTCTTTTCTTTTCAACTGTTACTGCGCTTTGTTTGGCAATAGTTTTCTCTCAGAAA